TTAATTATAAAGCTAAATTGTCATTTTTTATAAAAAAATTGGAAAACTGAAACTGAAAGATCACTGTTTCATAAAATTCAATATGACCAAAACATTGTATGAATTTTTTATTTAATTTTTTTTTTTTATATAATTATTTATTTTAATATAAATTTCGTTTAATTTCTAAATTGAATAATTTTAGATAAATTGCATCAAGTTACATACAATGCCGTTACATTACATATTTCCTAATTAACTTTTTTATTATTAGTAATCAAATTTTATCAAATTTATTTATTAAATGCAAATAGCTTTGAGTGTCTGTATATAAAAATATGTGTGCATATGTATATGTATATATATATATATATATATATATATATATATATATGTGTGTGTGTGTGTATATGCATGTATATATATATAATTATATATAAATATATATATATATATATATATATATATATATATATATATAAATATATACATATTTTAAAATATGTATATAAATATAAATATATATATATATATGTGTGTGTGTGTTTATATGCATATATATATATATATATATATATATATATATATATATATATATATATATATATATATATATATATATATATAATTATATATATATATATATATATATATATATATATATATATATATATATATATAATTATACATATATATATCTATATATATATATAATTATATATATATATATATATATATATATATATATATATATATATATATATATATATATATGTATATATATATATATATATATATATATATATATATATATATATATATATATATATATATATATATATATATATATATATATATATACTCATATAGTGTCGCTTTAAGAGCATTTAAATGTAAAAAAAGTCTCTTACGACTACAATTTTAATTACCTCGTCTCTTAAGCTGTTTTTGATTGTCATCGAAATGTCAAAGCAATTAATTTATGCGGAAGTACATTAAATTTAATTGTTTTTTAAATAATTTTTAAAAAACCGCAATTATAACGACTAGAAAGTTTTTTTTAATTAGTGGTGTTTTTGTTATTGATTTAATAAAAACATTTTTTAAACATGCGTAAATGTTGCTACATCGACTATCTTATAGCCTGACTCGCAACAGAGTGCTGCTACATCGACTGACAAATAGCCTGACTCGCAACGGAGTGCTGCTACATCGACTGACAAATAGCCTGACTCGCAACGGAGTGCTGCTACATCGACTGACAAATAGCCTGACTCGCAAGGGAATGCTGCTACATCGACTGACAAATAGCCTGACTCGCAAGGGAGTGCTGCTACAACGACTGACAAATAGCCTGACTCGCAAGAGAGTGCTGCTACATTGACTGAGGGTTTGGTTTGGCCAGGCAGTCTATCAATTAAAAAAAAAAATTTAATTTTTAAAACTTTTTCTGGTCTAGTTTATTAACGCGCTCTTTAAAACTACAGTTTATGGGAAATATTTTTTGATGCTACGCAAGAGACATGCAAGACTATATATATATATATATATATATATATATATATATATATATATATATATATATATATATATATATATATATATATATATATATATATATATATATATATATTTATACGTTTTTTTATATGCAGCAGCATATTTGTGTGAGCGTTTGCTCACTTTTTTTTGCTTACCTAAATCTAAATTTTAATTATATTATTTAAATGTTAACAAATATTTCATTTAAAAAAACAAAACATTAAGTCACGAGAACCTCTTGAAGTTTACATCTTATAAGAAACCTTTTAAGATTCTTAGAAGGTTAATAAATATATCTTCTTTTTTTTATTTTTATAGTTTAAATAAATGGAAAGATATATAATAGTATCAAACTTTTTTTTTATTCTGCCATTTTTAAAAAATGTTTCGAAACAATTTAAAAGTATATAATAATCCGAAACTACATTGGCCGAATATTGGCTACGGTATAAATTTAAAAACAGATTTTTATGGTAAAATATTAAGCCTAAACTACATTGGCCAAATATTGGCCCAACGTAGTACGATAATTAAAAAAAACCGATTTGTAGAATTGCAATATTACGCCGAAAAAAAAACATTAGATAAATGTTGGCCCGATATAGTACGATATTTGCAAAAAAACAACTTTGCTGAATTAAAAAAAAAACGCCGAAAAAAAATATTGGCTAAATGTTGGCCCATCGGAATAAACTTGCCTAGGTTAAAACTTACATTGGGCCAATGTAAGCTTGCTGTCTGGGTTATATATATTATTTTTCCTGCTGGTTTAGGTGAGCAGTGTGACACAATGCCGAATTATCCTGCTGCCTGGTGCTTCAGTACATTCACTGAATGACAAATAACCTGACACGCAACGAAGTGCCGTTTCATTGACTGAGGATTTCGCATGACGCAGCAATTGTTTTTTTTCATTATTATTCTTTTTTTTCTTCTTTTATTAAATCTAAATTATTTTTTACTACAATCTAAATTATTAATGTAATAATAAAGGCAATAATCAAATTATTTTTGTGTAAGATCCTAAAGTTATTTTTCATTTTTATTGTTGTATTGGCATTTCAAATGTTTGTTTTATTTAATAATCTTTATTAAATTTAATTTATTAAATCTTATTATTTTATAAAATTTATTATTATTATTTATAAATAAATGAAACATTTCAAATGTTCGATTTATTTAATTAAGAAGACATTTTAAATGACTCCTTTATTAAATAAATCAAACATTTAAAATGTTATACAGTATAATTTTTTTATTTGTTATTTATAATAGTTTAGATTATATAGCTATTATAAGATATATTATTAAAGGTATCAATAATATATATGTGGCATTGAAGTTGTTAGAAGCTGATATTTTACATTTTAAATGTCTCTTTTGTTTGATTTTTTCTGTGTTTGATTATGAAACCCCATCTACTAACATATTAAGACAGTGTACAAAAAGTGATGTTACTAGAAATATATTCTACTTATGTAAAGCTTTCTAATATTCCATCTTTCCGAGGCAGAGGGACATTATTCTTGGTTTAATTATTTTTTAATTTAATATCTCTGGATATTTTCCATATTTAGTTTGCGTACAACAGTTAACAACTTTAAGCTTATACATTAATTTTAGTTATAACTCAATTATTAATGATTTGATTTATAGATTTTTATAGCAATACAAGATTGAACTTTTTTTTTTTATTTTAATTCACCTCCTCAAAGCCACTACAGACGAGGAGGCTACTTATTTGTGGCTATAACCCTCTCTCAACTCTATTACTCTATAACTATAACTCTATAACTATAAACACAAACGAGTTTGTGTTTCGGAGTTGTTCGTTAAGAACAAGGCCGCAGTGTGGAGAAACGAGTTGTGCGCTGTACTACCAGGAACGTGGGTGGGATCGAACTCGGAAATACTCGTTTATGAAGCGAGCGCTCTACCACTACACCACTACCGCATTTAGCATAAGGCTAAATTTCTGCTCTGCAGACAAAAAAGGAAGACAGCGAAAATGACTAGTCAAAATAAAGATTGAAGAGACAAAAAATTGTTTAAATCTTGGTGTAGATGATTTATCATCATTTTCTTATAATAAAACAAAAAATATTATTAAACTTTGGGATTTCCCTGTAACTCCAAAATTTTTACAGAAGTTTAATGTTTGCTCTGAGAAGTTGAATGAACAAATTTATTAAATGGTAAGTTTTTATATAAAAGTCTTTATGTCTGATGATTGAAAATCTTTATTTATAGCTTTAACTTTTACAATTTTAAAAACTTTTTCATATATTACGGTCAAAAAGTCAGAGTGTTAATTAATATTTTAGTATGTAATAATCAAAATATCAAAGCTTACACAACAGGCTTGGTCAGGAAGCGGGAGCGATCGCTCTCAAATATTGACCACAGAAAATGTATTTAGTTGCGAAAACCTGGCCAGGTTTTTTAGTTGTTTTGAGAACATTTAAGTTTATGAACGTAATAAAATTTTTTTGTTGGATTTCAAATTTGGTCTTACCAACATTGAAAACCATTTAAAATCAAATGTTGAAAAAAACAACAGCATTTGTATTTATATCAGTATTTATATCTGTTTAAAGTTTTAACAGTTGCTGGTGATTCATTATTATTCATTACATAAACGTTTATTTAAATTTATCTAATAGACGAAGGTAATACAATATTTTTATAGATGATATTATTTTTAAAAATAGTGTTATTAAAATTCAGAACTAAAATATGTAAAAAAAATTATTTACAAACATTGACAAAGTCCGTACTGTACCTTAAAAATCTGGAAAATTTGTTAATATTGGCTAACGTCGTGGAAAACCTGGAAAAGTCAGGAAATTATTTTTTTCTTTAGATAGTCATGAAAAATCAGTAATTCTAGTTAAGAAGTAACTCGTTTCACAAATGAACGCTGTATTTTAAATGAGATTATTTATTAAATGAACGCTGTATTTTAAGTGAGGTTACGCTGTATTTTAAGTAAGGTTATTTAAAAAGAATATTTTCAAAAAAATATTCTTTTCAAATAACCTCACTTAAAACAAAAGAATATTAAGACAAAATAAAGAATTTATTAGATAAAATAAATATTTTTTTAGATAAAATAAAGATTATTTTAGATAAAGTAAAGATTTTTTTAGAGAAAAGAAACAGTTTTTAGATAAAATAAAAATAAATTTTTTACAGGAGAAATATTTTTCACTACCTTGTAAAACTTTAATTTTGTGACTTGTCACATTTTCAAAATACAACGCTCAAATAAACAATTAAGATTTTTTTGGTGCTACCCATTTATTTTTTTCTGAATCTTATATTTTTCTTAGTGTTCATTCTCAGTTGACATTGAAGTACAACTTGGTAAACTACAAAACACATCAAATTTAGTTATAAAAATTTGAGTAACAAAGGTATACTAATTATTGTATTGCCTGAGAGAGTGTTGTTGCTATTAAAAGCAGTAAAGAATTTAAGTACTCTGGAAGAAAAGAAAATACGTAAGTAAATGGTAAATATTTATTTATAACTTTTTTATGCATTTTGTATGATATCTTAGTGCAATTTATATACTTTAAACAAAATACTCTTTGAAGATTTTTTGTAAATTACATTTATATTTATTTACGTTTAAACAAAAGTTACTTTAATTATTGCGAGGTTGTGTATTTTTGCATTTGAAATAATTGTATATTTTATTTGCTAAGAATAGTTTTTTAAAATGGCCTTGTTGTAAAATTAAACTATGCAGAGAGAGGACAAAAATTTGAAATAGAAAAAATGTTGATTGCATATGCTGCTTTTGGTAAGTGGTTTAGAAAAGTTTATTTTTCAGTTTCAATTTTGCATTACACAATTAGTTTCAATTTGTTATGTTTCTTTGGTGCATAATTAAAAAAACAACTATTTTTTTACAGAAACTGTGAAGTCAAATAAGCATGGCTTATGCAGACATGCGATAGAGATAGAGGAAGAAAAAATAATAATCGTGGGCACCGAATATCATAAGCTAAACACTATTCAAAAACAAGTAGCTCAGCCAATATCGAAACTACTCTATAAATTTTATAGTGAATTTTTTTATTTAAAACTCAATGTGTCAGTTTTTGGTTTAAGTTTCGTGTTTGCAATATGTATATTTAACCGATATATTATGTTAAAAAATAAATTTTTGTACTTGTACCATATATTCTTTTTTTTTCTCTATAAATTTTCAATGTAGCGATGTAAATCATCTTATTTGTAACAACGATCTAATGTTGCATAAAACGTTAGGCCGATATATAACATACGACATTGGGCCAATGTTGTTATACAACGTTAGGTCAATGTTGTATACAACGTTGGGCCAATGTTGGGTAAACGTTGTATACAACATTGGGCCAATGTTGTACACAACATTGGGCCAATACCTAACCAATGATCAAACCTGCATTGCGCCAAATCGACTTTTAACGTTGGGCCAATGCATCAACATGCATTGGCCCAACGTTGGTCCAATGTCTGGGATATATATATATATTTAAATATATATATATATATATATATATATATATATATATATATATATATATATATATATATATATATATATATATATATATATATATATATATATATATATATATATATATATATATGTATGTATATATATATATATATTCAGGCTTGGTCAGGAAGCGGGAGCAATCGCACTCGATTGCTGACCACGTAAATAATATTTAGTTGCGAAAAGCTGGCCAGATTTTGTAGCCGTTTTGAGAACATTTTAAAAAGGCAAAAAAAAAAAGCGACAAAGATTCGTTGAATGAGAGAAAATTCGTTGAATGAGAGAAAAAAAAAAAAAAAAAAAAAAAAAAAAAGCAAATAAAATATCTTAAAACCCCAAAAAAGTTAGAGCTAAATAAATTACATTTAGAACAAATATCGCTCTTTTACAATTTTTTTTAAAAAATTGAGCGATGTTTTCTATATAAAGTAACAACTTACGATTGTTTAAAAGGGAAACAAATATTCTTTATTTAACTAAGTTTGCAAGTTTGAAAATTTTAACATATTTAAAGCGATTCTTTTTAGTAAGATAAACAAAGGGAATAATTAAATCATTGTATTACTATAGGAATTAAATTATCAAGACAGAAATCAACTAAAAAAGTTAAAAATGAATGACCAGGAAGCGAAACTGCTTCACAATATCGCTGATGTTTAGTGAGTGGGCTTTGTAATTTTAATTAGTATTTAAAGGAGAAAAAAGTATAACGAGTTTTAAGAATGGCAACTTAAGCGAAAATAATTAGAGTTAGTAAACCAATATCTAGAAACTTTTCTTTATATCTAATTATTTGCTATAAATATTTGTGTTCTGTCGTGACCTCAAGCGCGATGCTTGTTCATCCGCGAGTTACTTTGTATGCGTTGTTTGTGTTTAGTAACAAGAAACTTCTTATATGTTTGTTACATAATTAGTTTTATTAACTTTAACGATTTTAACTTCATTGAAAACGCAATTATTTGTGAAAGTCTTTGCTTAAATCATAAAAATTTAAAAGGTACATAACGATAAAAAACAAATTCACAAAATTACATTTACATAAAGAATACAATCTCTTTTAAAATAAAAAATAAGAATATACTAATAAAATCTATGATTTATAATAACCTTTTAAAATTTTAACAATTTAATTAATATATATTTGAAACATTTATTTTCGTAAACAAATAATGTATATTCTTAAAACAATGCTAGAAATCTCAAAAAGTAACAAATAATGAATAACACTATTTCTAAAAAATTTTAACAGAATAGAGTATTCTGTTACATTATTTCGTTTAATCAGCAACATTATTTCGCTTAATCAGCGTATTTTTTGAACCAATAGAATTAGTTTGTTCGTTAATTTGGCGGGTTTTTAGTGTTCACAAATATTTTTTTTATTCTTTTGCACAAAGATGTTTTGAGAACATTCACGTTTTTTATGTTTCCATGTATGTCCGTATAACAAAATTTTTTTGTTTCGTACATAAACTTAAATGTTCTCAAAACGAATAAAAAACTTGGCCAGTTTTACGCAACTAAATATAATTTCCGTGGTCAGTATTCGAGAGCGATCGCTCCCGCTTCCCGACCAAGCCTGTATGTATATATATATATATATATATATATATATATATATATATATATATATATATATATATATATATATGTCTATATATATATATATATATATATATATATAATATATATATATATATATATATATATATATATATATATATATATATATATATATATATATATATATATATATATATTTATACTTCCTGTAATTTAATTTTTGGTATAAATTGAAGTATTATTAATTTGATTATTCATTTCTGATGAGTCTTAAAATGTTTATAAATCATTATTATTTTTAAAACTACATATATACAATGTAAATGAGTCTCTGTCAAATCTAAGTTAAAACTCATTATTGTTATAAATACAAATAATAGTTCATAAGCATAAAACTTACATACAAACTTTTTTTAAAGCTATGCTTATTTTTTTGATTACACAAATATTCTTAGACGTTATAGTTATTTATTTAAATATTGTATATTGAATTAATAAATACTGATTTAACAGGTTAAACCAACTCAAGAAATTATGTTGTAAGTTTTATTATTTGGTTATTTATAATATTTATTTTTACTTTGAAAAATGTTGCAGCGTTTAGTTTTTAGTTTAGTAATATTAGTGTTATGAACAATTGTTAATTGTGAATATTAAAGTTATAATTTTTAGAACAAAAAAAAGAAAAATGAAAGCGAAGAAAAAAATGTTTTAAACATTGAAAACCCTGAAGTGGATTTTGCGGTGAAACCAAGCAATGTAAGAGTTTTATAATATTGTTTTAATTATATGTTTGTGTGTGTTATTGTATGTGAAATTTATACTTATACTTATATACATTAATATTGTTTTAATATATTTTTTGTATGCTAAACTTAGTTCATAATTTTAACAGAGATAATTTAGAAAATGTGATATGATAAATTAAAGAAATTTTTTTACAAATTGATCATCCAATTATGAAGTTGTAAAAACCCATATATACATATATTTAAATTATTTTTTTTAGCCGGAACAACCATTACCAAAATTTTCTGCCAAATTGAACTTCAAATGAAGAACAATCATCATGTGCTGTTACTTGATGAGGTATTTATTTATACTCAATATTTAAACACATTTTAAAATGATGTGAAAACATAGTGTAGTATTTATATTTAGTTTTTATCATAAGAAAGGTATTAAACAATAAATAAAACATTTAAAATCGCATTGATTACAATCTAATTATATAAAAACCTCAAAGATTAAAGAAAAGTTATGATAACTAATAATATTTAACTAAAAAATGGTTATAATTTATTTGGTTACAACTTAATTGTTACCAAATAAATTATAACCAAAATTAGTAAACAATTTTTATAACCAAAATTTATTGTATTTTTAGGACTGTAGTCAAAAGATAAAAGTGTAAGTCGTTTTTATATTTTTTATTGTTACTGATATATATATATATATATATATATATATATATATATAAATAAATAAATATATATATATATATATATATATATATATATATATATATATATATATATATATATATATATATATATATATATATATATATATATTTATAGTCTTGCTTAGAAGTCGAAATGTTTTTTTCCGAAACTGTAGTTTTAAAGAGAGCGCTAATAAACCAGACCAGAAACAGTTTAAAGACTCGAATAACTTTTTGCCAATCATTTATAATAAAAAAAAACATGTGTTATTTAAACCTATAAAGCTTTTATTTTAACTTTTTATTTTTATTTTGTAAGAAATAAAATTCATTATAAACATTAAAAATATTTAGTAGACGTTAATTTTGGACCGCCGCGGTAAAGATGGCTTCCGGACATGCTCTGCAATATTAATGGCCAATTTGTTTTTGAGTTTATTAAAATAATAACATATATTGCGTGATACCAGTTTGTTAGTTTGAACCGTTTTATGTCACTTGGAACTTGCTTGCATCAGCTTATTTGTTTAAGGAAGCTTTGTAGTGAATTTTAGATTAAGTAGTTATTAAATAGTTGGTATTTATGGACTGCTTATGAATTATCGTGGAACTAAACTCCTGATTGATTTAACAGCGTTGCAACTATATACTTACATTAGTTGATGGATACACTTATTATATATGTACAACCTAGCATGATCTGTCAACAACAAAAGAGAAAACTAATACTTAGTGACTCTAAGCAAGCTGTTGCTGATCTTTCATACTAAAAAACATATATTTTTCTTATAAATAGGGTCAATAATTTTTTAATATATATTCATCCTGTTGTTTTATTCTAATAATTGTCTACCGAAACACAAAAAGAAAACATATTTCGAGCCAGAAAAAGTGTGTCAACAGTCTTCTTGAAAAGAAAAGAAAAAAGAAATAAGTTTGACTTGTTAATTTATAATATATTTTATAGTTTAAATATTTATTTAAAAACTTTTACTATTATTATTTAGAAATTTTACTATATTTTATAATATAAATATTTAATACCTTATCTCTTATTATAAATTTCAAAAGTGTTACATTCTTTACTTTGAAAATACTATTACATTCTTTACTTTTCACCAAAATACTCACATACAGTGTTGCATATCTCACTAGTATATAAAATATATTATATATTTTTTTTAGTCTATATAAACTAAAATTTGAAACCAAATATATCAATAAAAACTTTAATAAAATATTAATATAAAAGTCATAAATAAAAATAAAAATTCAGAAAATAGAAATAAAAATATAAAACTTATAAATAAAAAAAATATATATAAAACTCATAAATTAAAAATAAAAATAAAAAACCTAATAAAAATACAAATGTACATTTAGCTCAACCAAATACCCATTTCTCATTATCATCATCCTAAATGCTGAAGTGAATAATATGGTTGTTAAGTCTCCTTGTGGTGTTTGTTATAAAACTGTAACATGCAATCAAAAAGCTATAAAATGTGACTCTTGCAATAAGTGGATACACACTAGGTGTAATAATGTTGATAGTA